GTCTCTGTCAATACCATCGTTCATTGTAAAACTTCCAGCAATGGACATCTCGCTTGTATTGTGTTTTACAAAACTGCGCTGTTTCACTCGAGGTCTGGAAACGAGTGATCGGCCGCTGCCCGTTCGCTGACGCGTTTTTGCTAAGGCATAAATCTTTAGAGCAGAACTTGGGTGAAGCTGCTGCCCATAAGAATTGTTGTCAGATGGCGAATCCAACACGGGAACAACCTTTGGGGCAAAATTCACTGGAGAAACAGAACGCCGACCGGAGATTTTTCGCCGAGGTACTGATCTCGTAGGTACAAATTCCCGGGGTTTTAACTCTTGGGAAGCTTCTGTAACAACAAATGAAACACTCTTTGATATTAACTTATCTGGCGTTTCACTTAATGCACTCGGTTTATCTTCATTTTCAAATTCATTCAAAGAGGTGTGGCTTTTCTGTTCCTTCAAATCATCACTCCAGCTGTCTTCTTCAGATAAATTTGAGTATCTCGGGTCTTCGTCAAGGTCAGTGCTAGGTAAACGAAGTGGTTCCTGAAGATGAAGGCTGCTCATGCCATTACTTAATAAATCTTCCCTGGATACCGCCATGAACGGTGGAAGTTCGTCCCCCTTTAGTCCCATTTGGTCATTGTCTGTAAAAACAACATGAAATCTGTTATATTCATTTCAATGCATAAAATACGTAACTCTAGATGATCAGGACGTGATGGTAGTGAAACAAGCTAAATTCTTCCTATTGGTTCCTCTTATGGTCCATTGCCATAAATTCCTACAGCAATTCGTCGGTCATTTGGGAACTTATTAGTCAGACATTTCCTAGTCAATATCATAAATTCTTAAGAACAGTAAATTGTTCTAAGTAAAAATTGGTAAGTGAATACAGATGAGTAAATTAAGTGAATTAAACATACCGCTTTCATCATCATCACTGTCACCATATTCCAGACTCTGGCATTCATTATGCTCGTCTTGTTTACTGTTCGTGGTCATTGGTGAATCTTCCTTCACAGGTCCAAAACCATCCTGAAATTCAACAAAAATAAAACATTGATAAACTGGCAATTATTCACACTATGTTCACACGACGCTTCAAAACGGAACAAGATTAAAACGGAGCGCTTGAACGGCAGCACCGTCTTTATTTTGCTCCACCTTAAAATGAAGACAACGAAGGAATACCATACCTTTACGGAAAAAGCTTCTTCGTGTGCAGTTTCACTCAGTTCTTCGTTTCCAGCTCCCAGACTATCCAATGCTTGTTTCCTAGTCAAAACCTGTCCCTGATCAAGTAGTATATTGTCACCTTCCTCGTGTAATGTTTGAGATACTGCCTTATTTTCAATGCGGCCAATCTTTGTAGTTTCTTGGGTATTTTCCCCTAGTTGTTTCTCTTCAATAAGCCTCACAGTCGCCTTTTCCTCTGCTTTATTGATCTTATTTTCCTCACTGCTGTCTCGTCCGAGCTCATTTTGTACTTGGTTGATATTTCCAGACATACTGTCCTGGGAGGACGGTTGTTGTGCTTTTATAACTTTTCTTTGAGATTTCCCAGTTTGTTTTTTGGTCTTTTTTACGATAGTCCGCCCTGGTCGACTTGATGTCTAAAGCAAAATAAATTTACAGTCAAAATACAAGAACTTTCCCGCTTCTGTAGTGTGTTGACATTTTCTGTAATTTGTTCTGTATTACTATAACAGTTACCGATTTATACACCGTGATAAAACTCAAATTCCGCACCTTTTATGTGTCAAAATGCAGTGAATCTAACGAAAAATGCAGCCTTTGCTACAAATTATCATATGAAACAAATTTTGTCGCCATATATTTACTCATGATTTGGTAACCGCTACAGAAAAACAGAACAATTTACCGAAAATTGCAACAGATTCCGGAAGTGGGAAGGTTCTTGTTTTTTTACTGTAATTGTAAACTAGACTGGACACTCGAATTAAGTCAACCAGTGATTTAAGTTACGTATCATGTAAAAATTATACAAGGGCTAATTACGTATTCAGTTTACTCTCTACTCGGTAAAGCCAAACAAACTTTTACTAATTTCTCGCTGGGACTGGGATGATTTCTAACGGACCTGGAGGGCGAACAGCTCAGAACTGATAAATAAAGTGTAGTTCACTTACAGTTGTATTGGATTGATTCGTGGTATCCTCGTTTTTTACACGCTGACTTCGGAGACTGTCGACATTCTTCGTGACGTTGACGGATGTCTTCGACTGGACAGCGCGTGAATCTATTTTCCGCTCCGAAAGTCCAGGTCGCTTTTGGCGGGAAAATACTGGAGCAAGTTTGACAGTTTTCTGTGAAGTCTGCGTTCTTCCTGGTTCGTTACTTATGGTGAAATATTTGTCCTCTTTTCTCCCTGATATTTCGTTATCTGCCACCTCTTCCATTGATTCAGCCTTACAACAAGAGAAGACCCAGTTAGGGACACGTCGCAAAATATTGGGGGAGGGGGGGATGGGGGACCATATGACCACCTTTTCTTGCTAAAAATCTTAGTTCTTTCTTAACTTGAATGTAATCAATAGCTTAATCCATAGCCTACCATGCTTTCATGACTGAAAAATAATTGTCACAGTTTTGATACACAGTCATTCACTGATATCAATCAAAGGTTTTCGTAAATTCTTGGGGGGTCGCCCTCCACCCCTGAAGAAAATCTTTGGTGTGTGGTGAGTCTGAGGTGAAATAATAATTACAAGAATCATGCACAGATCACAGAGAGGTGAACCCCAAGCCAAAAAATATTCCCACTTACCAATTCAAGAACGGGACTCATAAATGGCGGGGGAGTTCGAGGCGGAGAAGAGACTGGTGACGAGCCTATATTTGGTAAATTCCAAGAACTAACGAGAGACGATGACCTTGATCTTGAGTGTGGCGTTCCACTTTGTGACATGTAAATATCCGTTGGAGCGACTGAGAAAACATCAGAGAGTTCACTTTCGGTCTGCGGCATATCAAATACAATGAATGATGCCATTAAAAACACAAAGAACTGACTATACATACATAGTAAATAATTTCTGACTTTCAGAAGCAGACTGCAATAAAATCAATGAAAAGTACATGATCATTTATCTCACCCCATCATTTTCGCTCTCTATATCGTTCTCCAACGAACTTGGTGGAATTTGACCAGACAGGAAGCGTGCTAAGTTAATACTGATGTTTGCAAATGGCACCTGGAACAATGCATACACACTTATCAAAACGTAATGTTTCATTGTAGTGATATATTAAGTAATGCCTCAGTGTATGCTGTTGATCACCTACCAAATACGTCTCCATACGAACAGGCTCGGAAGGAATTATTTTCTTATATTCAAACCGTACTCTTGGATCTTCGTAGATGTCAGAACCTACGAATAAAGTGATAAAAGAGTTGTCTCGAAAAAATATAAGGAGCATAAAAAAAAATGAAGAAAAAATCGAATCTGAATAAATATACCTGTTTCATACAGTTCACTATTTCTTCTTGAATTATTAGAGTAGGAACTCAATTGAGCTATAAAGGAATCGAATCTTTCTCAGGTATAAACCGGTAGATGTACAGAAGTGAACCATTTGCATTATAGACTAAATTTTGATCTAAACAAGTCTAGACAAAAATTTCATCACAGCTTGAAAGAGCATCACAAAATTAGTAATATTCCAAAGTTTCGTTGGAAATGTTGTAAAATGCGGATAATATAATGGCCTTGCGAAGTTTGCCGTTTTTCAGTCATTTTCCATTACGCGGGGGGAAATTGACAGCCCAATACCCTTTGGGTCTGTCAATTTCCCGTTTGTAATACAAAATGACTGAAAAACGGCAAACTTCGCAAGGCTATATTATCTGCATTTTACAACATTTCGCAACGAAACTTTGGAATATTACTAATTTGGTGATGCTCTTTCAAGCTGTGTCTAGCTTGTTTCTAGCTTGAATCTTTGTCTAGACTTGTTTAGATCAAAATTTAGTCCATAATGCAAATGGTCCATACAGTATATTGCCTTACTCTCTTACCCTTTTCATGGCTGATACAGAAGACGTGATTTTTGAAACCAGCAAGAAGATCCCCTAAAAAATTGGGAAAGGAAAATTGTGTAGAATTACTACAGTAGATAACAAGAATTTAACAAAAATATTTTACTAACCAGAAGAGTTTAAAAAGCAGACCGCAGTCAATGTTTTATCCATGATAATTTCGCGCACTAAGACTTTGCCATTGTTCCATATTTTAATACTGCCGTCCTTACTGAAATACGTAAGAAAATGTTTGAATATGTTTTGCATGTACGTATGAATCATGTGGGTAGATTGTAACTTTTTGATAAGGACGAATTTCGCTTATACATAATGATAAGTTTCGTTATTAGCCATTTCCCAAAATCCTGGGTCTAATCGCGCAAATTCCATGTTGGAGGGACAAAAAATATGGCAGCACACATTTGAATTAAAAGTTTAATGTAAAAAGAAGATATTTCATTTTTGGTCGTCTAAAAAGTTGATATTTGATAATAGATACTTCTACTCTTTCGCATATTTGACGCCTGTCTCCATACATTTTGTCCCTCCAAACGATCCCAGAATGCACTGTGATCTCTTTTGGGAAAAGGCTAATTGGCATTCGGGTTTTAATATCTTATGAGAAGACACTAATACGGCCGTACCTGGAACTACAAAATAACTGAAGACTGTTGTTGGCATCCACAGTCAGAACAGAATCAAGGTGATCTTTAGAGACCTTCTGGCCATCAAATTTCCTTGTTTCCACTTCACATGTTACTGGTAAACAAAACACAAGATTAATAGATTCGTCCTTCTTCCCAAGTAAAACCAATTTTCTCTGCATGTAGTAAGTTTTTATATTGTAAATTACAAACCTTGGTCGGAATTTAAGCGATATAGATTAAGCCGACCAGTTTCATGTCCTGTCAGAAATGAACAGCCCTGGAACGTCATGAAACAAGGAAAAACGCGTTAAGAAAAGATAAACACTTTTGACACTTGTGATGTACAAAAACCTTAAAACACAACAACAGAGTATTTGTATTCAGTAGAATAGCTGTGCCTAGCCTTGTATATACAATAAGAGGGTTTCGCCAAGCACAATATTAGGCGGCATAAGATTGTAGTGACATTATTAAGCGTCAGTTATCTTATCAGAGTGAGGAAATTATATTAATTTTTTTCATCACATGTCGTGGTCAGTTAATGAGAGCTATAGAATCTGATCTAACTTAATTAGCTGTGTCAATACTTCTGAAGCTGATCAATAGCTTTCGTCCTGTGTATAACTGTATATAAGACCTGCTGAAACTCACCAATACATGGTATGAAAAAGTTCATTTCTACAAAAATTCAGCGGAGGCTACTCACCATGCGTACAAAGCAAGTCAGATTATTCCCAGCATCAATGCTATGTTTCATATCCAAGTCAGGCAGACCTCTGATTTGAATGGTATATTTATTTAACGTTATTGTATTCAGTAGTAGTAAGCCAGCGGTCACATCATGCTTTATTGATAACACCTAAAATTTATTCAAATGTTATGTCAAGCAAGATATATTAGAGAGATTCAAGGGACCATTAACAAATCAGATACGCTTGATATATTCGATTAACCACAGTCAGTCACAGGTAGTGGCAGTCAAATCTAAACCTCTCTATAGAGTATAGAAAGCACTGAACCTGAGAAATAAAGATGCCTAGGAATAATAGGATTGAACATATATTCGCGTTGACCTATCAAAAGCGGCAAAAAATGGACGACGTATAAGACTTACTGCTCCTTTTGTGGCTTGAAACTGATGATATAATATCAGAGCTGAGAAAGGACTTGTAAATAATAGTCGACCATCCTATAAAACGAAAACAAACAGGAATTATAACTGCTGCAACGCGATACAAGTGTTGATACAATTCATTATACATAGCGTGAATCAAATCAAATATTCAAAGATAAACAAACCTGCAAGCCCACAATAAGGTAGTAGGTTAAGTTAGGATAGAATTCTCCCGCCTTGTGTTTCAAGTTCACAGTCGAGTGAAGAAATGCCAACGAGAGGCATGGTAATCCATCCACAATCTTCGCCGGGGGGTTGAATGGAGAGGGCGACCTCCTTGAAGATATTGGTGTACAAGACTTGCCACCGTTACGACTGTTGGTTTCTCGGTTATTTGAAATGTCCTGAACGTCTGAAAGTTTCCAAACTTCGACTCGGTTGGCTGGATTTGACCTAGAAGGTATATAAATTTTCCACTGAGGACATCAATGACAGAGAGACTTATAGAAATAGCGATATAAGAGCGGAAGCTGGCATTGTTCAGAGGCGCCACCAGGAATTATTTTCGGGAGGGGGGGGGGGTAACTTTACAGTATGTGAATCATAATGCTAGGGGGTCCGGGGACATGCTCCCCCAGGGGAAAAAATTGGGTAAGGTGGGGGTATAAATAATGCGACGACGACGTCTAAAACCTCCGAGAGGCTTTTAATTATTAATTTCTTTTTTACACCATCATGAAGTTCATTGCACTAATAGCCGTCGCTGTCCTGCTAGCTAAAGGACCCTCCTATTAAAGCAAGAAGGAATAGGCGGGCAGCTAAATCCATGACCCAGCTCCACCTTACGATAGAAGGATCGAAACATCAGCAACTGAACTGGATGTCTCCAACTACGATGTACGAACTATACTACGAATATTTCGTTCAGCATACTTTGTATAGTAGACCCAAATTTCTTCTTGGTTCACCAACACGTACATCAAGCCATATATTGGACAGTACGCATGAGCAGAACACGACCGCAGACCAGTAGTAACAGGTGGCGGAGGAAGAACAGTCGAGAGAGGACAGCCATCTTTAGATACAAATCTTGCACTGAAAACATAATATTTGACACAACATTACAACAATAATTTTTCACCAACTTTCATAGTTTTTGAATGAGTGTTCGGTGCACCTCTATGACTGGTGTTGGAAAGTACTTTTAGTATAACTCTACCCCAAACACCACTGCTTTACCATGCATGGATCCTTCAGTTTCCTCCAGGAATAACAATGTAACATTTGGTCCAATGCATGGGATATGATGGCCTCACCGAACTTCTGAAGAGAACAGTTTAGAACCGATGAAACTACCCAGTATCAAATAAGCCAGTGAGATTAGTTTTGAAGAATTAAATGTTCTCTTAAATTTTCAAACCTGTAATCTTCCGCGATTGCCAGAACTTTTTGCCCATTGCGATGTGAGCCAGCAGTCAGTGATATTGACGTCAATGGACAGCGGACTGTCGTCCAGAAATTGGTCACATGATTGATGGAAAATACTTGTAATGCTTTACTTGTGGCACAGTAGAGAAGGTCATGTGATATGAAGTTCATCCATTCGATGCCTTCTGGGAATACAACTTGGCTACACAAAGAAACAAAACATATAATGATCAATTTTACTTCTCACACCGTTATGGGATGTAAAATATACTATGAAATGGATGATCAAAAAGAACGAAATCCATTACCATAGCTGGAAAGAGCATCTTAAAATGAGTAAAATTGCAAAGTTTGATTGCGAATTGTTGTAATATGAGGAAACTATAGCCCTGTGAAGTTCGCAAATTTTGTATATATTTGCATTACGCGCGGGGAAAATATATAACCATTTTTGAGCCGAAAGTGGTTATTTTTACCGCGCGTAATACAAATATAATTATACAAAATTTGCGAACTTCGCAGGGCTATATTTTCTTCATTTTACAACATTTCGCAACCAATCTTTACAGCTTTACTCATTCTAAGACGCTCTTTCTAGCTGTAGTGTTGGACTTCGTTCTTCTTGCCTTGATCAAAATTTATTTACTATAGCTGGAATCACCCATTGTTACCTGTATATCTCCTCCATGATGTCCAAAGAGAATATTTTAATAGTTCCATCTTGTGATGACGTGATCACTAATGATGGTGCCTCTGGATGAAGTAATAAGTTCGTCACCATCTGCAAACAACCATAAATAACAATCGCGGTAGTTTAAAGCCGGAGTAATACGAGCAACAAAATTGCTGCAACTTGCAACAAAATCTGATTTCAACGTATGTTAAGTAGAAATGTTGACACATATGTTGCCGCGTGATTTGTAATGTTTGTGTGAACATTTTCAATTAACATGCGTTGAAATCAGATTTTGTTGCAAGTTGCAGCAATTTTGTTGCTCGTATTACTCCAGCTTAACCGTAGAAATGACAGGCAATAATTGTTTAGTTTTCAAAGGCGTTAACTCTCAACATAAAACTACGGTCTACCTTTGAATGAGAGTGAAATGAGTGCAGACAACCGCCATTTGAACTCCATACGTTGACTAAAACAACAAAATACATGATGCTACAAACTGTCGAGCTTGAATTATTCAAATTTTATGAGGAAAATTGCAAAATTTATTTCTCTGTCCTACCTGCGCAGTCAGTCCCGGTGGTGACGACAAAGTTTGAAAATTTGGAGTAAACACAGCCAGTCACCTGACCCTCGTGTGCACTTGAACACAATAGAAATGAAAGTAAATGCTAAGGGGGCGGACCCCTGGACGGACCATTAGAAAAGCGATGCGGGGGGATTACTATTTTCAGCATTTTGCGGAATTTTAAAGGTCTTCATTTAAAGGTATTCTTCTTTGCTTTCCCTCTTTGCACGAATTGTTTTCCTTTGCGCGAATTTTTTGTCCCCCCTCACTTTTCTGAGGGTCCGCCCCTAAAGTGAGGTTAATGTTGCTAAAACGAAGCTTTGAGGCCTGAGTTACCTTTTCAGTTCGAACAAGAAGTTGCCTTTCATGTCATACGCGACAACATTTCTCTCAGATAAACAGTACAGTCTCTGAAAAATTGTGATAGGAAGTAACATCATGAACACACGAAACATAGTTTGTTTAGATATTCTCTTCACAAAGCTGTTATTTGATCAAGTTGCTGCAAGGTTGTCACTCACAACTTGTTGACAAATTGTTGAATTGCAGGACGAGAACAAGTTGTTGGAACAACTTGTAACAAGTCTGTTAAGCTCAACAACCTTGTAGCAAGTTATCAACAAGCCGTTGACAACTTATCAGCAAGCCGGGAACAAGCAGTGCGAACACATCCTGTTGACAAGTTGTTGGAACAGCATTGCTACAAGTCTGCTGCAGGTTTGTTACAACTTGTGCGTTATATGTAGTTTTGTTTCGATATTATCTTAACTCGAATGAATTAAACTTTTTTCCCGTCCACTTGGAATATTTAGTACCTGATTTTTTTCATCCAGGATAATATCTTTCACCATCGTACCATTCACAGCAGGATGTTCACGCCTGAAAGTCGTAATTACAGGCAAAGAATGAAAAAACCCCGAATGGACCATGGTTTATTGATCTAAGTGACGACCAAAACGAAGTTTTAAGAAGGCTATACAAATTGTAGTTCAAGAAATCTGAAAAATCAATTATCTACGTACCTCAAAATTAATCCGTAATTCGCCATTGGTCTTGAATCTCTTGAGATTGAACGATCTGATTGTACCTCGCCAAACGTCCAAAACTGTAAGTATCAAGTACGCCAGTTCAACGCTCAGTGATGAAAAAGACAGTCAACAAACATCAACGGTTTTCCAATTAGCCATAAACCTGCATCGTGTGGTGTGATTTATAATCAGCAGTGATAGCTTTTTCATTAACAAGAAAAGCAAAACTGTACACCTTATATTTGCGTATGTATAGTGAATGCGACGCCCTATAGCCTATGCATGTGTCCCATTTCAATTGGATCGATCAGTTTTGGGTGCAGTAGCGTAGAAAGACTGTCTTTGTCTTTGATGCCAAAGAAAACCGTATGGTACGACTGCCTTTAGACCTCTGCGAATGCCATTAGACTTTTACAGTTCTGTTCATATTCTGCCCGTGTACTCCCAAAACGATGAAATACGTTATGGAAAAGTTTTATATTTATTTCGCTGGACAAAACACCTCCACTCTTCAACTGCATTAAAAACTTACTTTAATGCCACCAGTTCCACCAGTAATGAGCTCATCAGTAACAGAGTTGAACACCATGCATAAGACTGAATTCATGTCAGAAATCACCGAGAACACTTCATGGAAATTTAGGTTGAACACCTTACACCACGAAAGAAAGTATAGTTCATTTGAAAACAAGGCCAACATAAAAACAAATTTTAGGCAACACTAACACCAATACACTACCAACAATAACAACAAAAAACAACTGACAGCAATAACATAACACCAGCAACGATATCATCATATCACCACCTCTATACAACAACTATAATTGATGATGTACCTCCACCACCATCAGTACCACCACCACCACAACCACCCATAGCCATGCACCATCACCTTCTCTACTATTATCATCACCACTATCACCATCTATCTCAGTTTACTAACTACCAACCACAACCATCATTATAACCACAACCATCACCACCATCACCATCATCACCACCATCATCATCATCACAACCACCATCATCATCATCATCATCACCACAACCACCATCATCACCACAACCATCATCATCATCATCATCATCATCATCATCATCACCACAACCACCATCATCACCACAACCATCATCACCACAACCATCATCATCATCATCATCACCACCATCACAACCACCATCATCATCACCACAACCACCATCATCATCACCATCACCACAACCACCATCATCACAACAACCATCACCATCACCATCATCACCACAACCATCACCACCACAACCACCATCACCATCACCACAACCATCATCATCACCACAACCATCATCATCACCACCATCATCATCACCACCATCACCACCACAACCACCATCACCAACACCACAACCATCATCATCATCATTGTCATCACCATCACAACAACTATCATCATCACCATCACCATAACCACCATCATCACATTAACTGCCACTTAATTAAATTAACCACTCCAGAAAATCTTCCAGATCTCATTATAAACCAACCTTCAATGCATAATCTTTTGAAAGGCCAAAGTAGACATTAAATTTCTTAGAATGCAACAGCAGCTGGATCAAATTGAATTGATATGAAGGGTAATCTAACAATCGTGTAACTACAGACAAAAGAAGAAGGACCTTAGTGTGATTTGGTTGCATGCTAACTTGTTTACTCTCCGGATTTGGTATAATTCGAGTACCTGCATTTATGACACTGTTGTGTGACCACGCTGTGATTCCTTTTGAATCAAGGATGATGAATTGTCTGCTCCTTGAGTTATATGTTACTGCATAAGAAATATTCACTTTAATAAAAAATAAATATAGCCAGGCATAATGGGGTAAGGGGAACAAATGTGGGGCAAACCCCACCTCCCCTTGCCCTCAGTTGGATTAGGTTGCATCGTTGTTTCATACACAAGTATATTTCTCTGTGTAAGGTACGTATGTGAGTGTGCTCATAAACATACTGGTTTTAGGTATGTATATGAGAATGCTGTGTGCTCATGAGTATACTGGTTTATATAGGTATGTTATGGACATGCTCATGAGCAGACTGGTTTTAGGTAGTCTTTGAGCATGACCCAACCAAAACCCCCAGTGTAAATGTATGTTTGTGCACCAAACATAAAGATATAACCCCTTATCTACAAAATCAGTGCTGTTGCCATGGGGAACATGTATGTAAACATAGACAATTTGATACATTTTCAAACATTTTTCTACAACAATTATCTTACTAAAATACAAAACTAAATACCAAAACCTCACCCACTACAACTCAGCTTTCAAGAGAATTAAAATACAAAGTCTGACTAAAGCAAGACGATTATAAGCCGTAAATATTGACATATGATATCGTTTATTGCACGTGGACTAATTGCACATATTTGTGAATCTTAAACGATTCCGTTTACTACAGCTGCATTACAACCGCTAGTCCGCTACAAACAAAACATTTACCCCTTTCATACCTCCTGTAATTTCTTTGCTTTTTGCCTTTGGTTTATAGCAAGCTCTCGGTTGAAAACCGTACGGGATAAGTAGATACGAGTCCGTCGCATGTTCATTTGACTCCGAACTACTAGTTCTACGAGTCCCTTCACGATCAGACGAGAATTCAAACTCGCTCATTGTTAAAATATTTAACAAAAATACACTCCAACAATAATATAATCCTTTTCAAAGCTTTATTTTGATGTATATTTGAGTAAAAAGACGATTTGTCTCCCATAAGTGTGATGTGTTTACATCACACAAATATTTCAATTTGGGACAAAAATATTTGCTCGTTGCTAGCGCTTCAAATTTCGCAATTTTTCACGGCGTTTTACAAACTTCTGCTTCCAAAAAGCTTCAACAAATAGCTTATACATAATTCCATAAGATTTATCAGCTATATTTGCAGTATTTAAGTATTAAAAGCTTGAAAATGAAAAATCCAGGTTTATAATTTTAGATTTGTCAACAATGACGTCACGGCGCTACCGTTGTTAAGGTGGATTTGTGCCGTTTATCATGGTTGTCCCATTTCATGTTTCATCAACAGGTTAATGTTTCATCGACATCTTGTTTTTGGAAAAAGTTATTTTGCTGACTTCAGAATGACATTTCGTCACAAAAAATTTTCTTCAAGATTGGTTTATAGAGACAAACTTGTTAGAGTTGGTGTTTGGAATAGGGTTAGTGTTAGTAAAACCGTTGCTTTGTCACGTTTTGTCACTGTGAGGCCAGCGAAATAACCTCTTCCGTTGTTTTTGCTACCCCAGCTGCAGAGGTTTTTGCACGCTAGCAGAAGAAAACACGCGCAAAATCCGACAAACCTTCGGTAGCTAGGCTATGTTACGGTCAGACTACAAAAAAAATTCGACCAAATATCTGATAGACGGTGTTTCTACTTTATAGGAAGAGTGGTCATCTTCATTAACCCCCGTCCTCGATTGCACCAGGCGACAATTCGTCAGCCTGATATACAGATCCACTTATTTTTTGCCTTACTTATTTTAAGCCTGTCCTAAACACGATAATTAAGGCTACGTTTACACTGTAACAGATAGCTTTCGGTAGCGATGTGAAAAAACCTTTCCGAACCTTTTAGGGACGCTATTTTCAGAGGTATTATTGCAAGGGAGAGATGTTGTTTCGCTCAGCTTCTGAAAGTTGTACATTTCATATCGAGGTGCTTTTTCGCACCGCAACGGAAAGCTATCCGTATAGTGTAAACCTAGCCTAACTTGATCAGTGTTCAGGCTAGGCTGGACTTTCATTCCGTGTTACCATTCGACCAATCTCGTAGCAAGACGTTCGACAAATACTATATGCAACTATGATCATGATTTATTGCTCTTCGCTGCCACGGATTTCTTCGCTTTCACCATCTCGACGAGATCCTAAACACGTTCAGAAAAAGATGCCGAAGATGATAGAGTTTACTGCAGGAAGAAATTTCTAGGAAATTCTTGTTGAACTCAAAAACCGTAGGAACTCTTACTGCTGGTTTCCAAATTAAAGTTTCTGTGACCACAATAGGAATTTTGCATAAGAAAATTCTAAGTTTTGACGGATTTGTAAGAAATATCGAGGGAACTGACTCAAGAATTTGATGTAGAATTTACTGATGCAAAATTCGTAGATGAAAATGACGTAGAATTTACTGATGCAAAATTCCTACTGTGATCACCGAAACTTTGATAGTGTAAATCAGCCTTTAGACTCTAGGCAACTCTGGACCCTATAGGAAACATCTCCACAGCAAATCTCACCTTATATCTTCTCATGCATTCCTTTTTCGTTCTTCCTGGAACCTCTTCAGCGATTTTATCCCATCGTTCAGGAGTACTTGACGGGTATTTCCGAAGAGCGTTTTCTAGCAGCTGAAAAAAAGCCCCACTTATATTAAGTTTTGAACTGTCTTAAAGTTTGCTAAATGCCAGTAGGTCGTGCCAATAAAATGAACAACCTTTTACCTTCTGTTCTTCCGTTTTCCATGATCTTTCCGCGGCTGGTGTAGTTTGGGTAGCTGCTGACGAAGTACCTCAGTTAAGGGAAAAATGAGTTGTATTGTTAGATGTTGGTTTAACACGGGGGGGGGTTGTGCATGTGTATTTCACCTCCGGGTGCATTTGTCTGATTATAATTTTGACACAAAAAAACTTATGACACAAGCGCTTTAAGCTTGCCTTCTCGCTACTTAAACTTCCTTTTAGCAACTGAAGTCTCATTACGTTGTAGTTTAGTCATAAAAACATTAACCATATGTGCAGCAAGACAGCAACACATACCATTGTCATATCTTTCAGTCGGGTTGGAAGTACTTGGAGTAGAAGCTGATGGAGCAGCAAGCGTTTTGTCAAATTTCGCAAACGCATTTTTATTCGCTTTCTCCATTTGCGTCGTATCTAAGAATAAAATATTTAATTAGTTTCACTACGGCTTGCAAACAACAAAAAATCTTGTTTAGCCGGTTTTAAAAATACTAGCACCTACCAAATTTCTGAAGTTCTTTGACTTTCTTTATGACATGTTTCGATGTTTTCACAGCGTTGCCTTTCGAATGATGGTTAATATATTCTGCTATCACTTCCCATCTACGTATATTTAAAAAAAACATTAATAATTCATGAGGAAATCACTACCGTGTTGGCGGTTTTATATATGTTATAAAATACCATGTTAATGTACAAGTTGTACATAAACTTTAGCTTTGACTCTCTCGGCTTTTTCGCCAATAAGATCGGTGGTATTTTAAACCATTTTAAGGTTACAGGACACCCTTTTTGGCGTTTTGCAGAAAATCGCTACTGCGCGCTCAATATCAGTCCGATTTTCATCAAATTTTCACCAAATGTTCTCCAGTGCATGCAAATTATGGTAAAGTTGTAAAATTAACAAGCAATAAAATAATGTAAGAGTTATTCAGGAAAATCTTAAATCGCGGTACCTTTACGCTTTTGAGTTGTGCTCCTGCTGGTTTTAAGTTATATTTACGAAAATATCATTTTTATACAGTAAAATAGTTGTTCTAAAAAATTGTGTTCGGAAATTTTTGTTTATTTCGTCATTCCGCTGATATGGCGATTTCTTTGACGACTGCAATATATTTCTGAATTGTTTGAGTGAATTGCTCTTTATTTTTAAAATATCCAAAATTAAAAAATTTTGAAACTGACGTATTTAGTGAAAATTTGAGAAAAATTCGTTAAAACCCACAGGAGCATAACTCGTTTGAAAATCAGTAATTACCGTAAAAATTTTCGTGAGAAAATTGAATTTGAATATTACATTTTCAATGTTTTTCTTATTGCAGCGAAATGTATTTTATTAAATAACTCTGCGAGTTTTCAACATTTTTCGTTCAAACTTGGTCAGATAGTAGAACTAGTCTAATGCTTTCATGGAAACCAATCAAACAATTTTAGGCAAAATTAACACTCAAAGGTGTTCTGTAACCTTAAACACTCGCAGTCGGTGCTTTATCAGATATAAGACACTCAGCGCCGCTGTCGCCTCGTGTTTCATATCCGCTGAAGCACTCCTGCAGTCCTGCTCGTGTTTGAAATGGTACAAGAGTGCAAGACAATGCTACAGCTATATGAAAGTGCTCAGACTAACTATACTTCACCTTGAATTAGTGCCCGCAGGAAAAAGCTTGACTGCTTTGATTAAGAGCTCATGCTCGTCTTCACTCCATAGCGAGCTGGAACTAGTGTCGCCCCCAGTCTCTTTGGAAATTTTCCTTTCCTGAACTGCTTTAACAGCCTTCTCGTCCTCCAAAACTAATTGTTCTTTTAATTTACTGATCTGAAAAAGAACAGCGTAGATTGAATACGAGAAATCTCGGTAATAAACGTACTGTAAGTCGGGGTAGTTCATACAGTAGGCTCCTGGATTATCTTATTCTTATTATGTCTTCATCCGCGAAGACTCGAAAATTGATTCGAAAATTTGTCAGACGAATGGACATTGCCCAAGGCCAAATTAACCTTTTTCACGATGACGAATAACCGCCATTTTTGGGTGGCATCTAATTCTCGTTAACCAATGCAAACAATTAAAACAATGTGAAAGTGCAATTTTTCAAAATAAACCAACCATTTACAAAGCAAATTTACCATCATTCGTCCAAAAAATTATATAAAGTCGCTGTTATGTGGACTTATCTCGCAGACTTCGGCTGAAAAGCCATCCAAAAATGGCGGGATGAGAAAGTCTAATTGATTAAATTTCGGTTAAATTTGGATGGAAATTAGATGAGAAATTAGCAGGTTAAGATACAATCGTAGAACATTACTGCGCTGTTTCATGTCAACAAATATGATTATAGATTTAACCTACCTCTTCCAGAAATAAATTACTAATATTATCTTTATTGTTCTGTTTAAACGATTCTTTTAAATCCTGTAATCTATACAAAAGATAAGATAACCAGGTTATTGTTGATGTGTGTGTTTGAAATCATGAACGCAATATTTCACCAACCTATCTAGTGATAATGTTTCTAATAATTTTTCTGTTAATTCCATTTTCTCCACCAAGTCTTTTTCGTCTTTTGAGAAATAATTATGTTCCTAAAGTAAAGCAAGCAATTTTGATGTGGGGAGAGAATAAATTCACTTTTAATGCCCGTATTCCAAAAGTTCACTCACACTCAATGAGTTGAAGTACAATCTGAGCTTCTCTCAAGTGACATTGCTGTTTTTGAATAGCTGGAGCTATAGGGTTAGTCCCGTACCTTACTATGTGACTACTCACCCCCCAGCTTAGTATTCAAAAACAGCACTGACACTGAAGAGAAGCTCAGATTGAACCTCCACTCACTGAGTGTGAGTGAGCGTTCAGAATACAGGCGTAAGCGTTGATTTTGGCAGAAGTTTGTCGCCTGTTTGTTTGTTTGTTTGTTTGTTTGTTTGTTTGTTTGTTTGTTTGTTTGTTTGTTTGTTTGTTTGTTTGTTTGTTTGTTTGTTTGTTTGTTTGTTTGTTTGTTTGTTTGTTTGTTTGTTTGTTTGTTTGTTTGTTTGTTTGTCTGTCTGTTTTGGTTGTTTGTTCGTTCTATTCGTCACTAACCTTACAAGTCGTTCTTATAATTTTCTTTTCCTTTTTCAAGGCATTCTTTAGTTTATCTTTCTCCTTCTTTGCAGCTTGCGCCTGTGTCAAAATGTATCGGAAATTATCAACAAATGTCCAGCAAGTTATTTAAAAATCTCAAAAAGTTTCTATGAAATATTAACCTTCTCTTTCGCTTCTTGCTCCTCTTTTTCCCGTAGAAGTCTCTCCGCTTCCAAAGCCTCTTGTTTCTTCTGCTCGAGATGATAGTTATCGGTGGGAAAAAAAGATGAGAGTTTTCGGTGGAAAAATAACTAAACTGCTAAAACTAAACTAACTTTCTGATACTTGAACGATTTGTGCCAGCGTAGGTAGTAGTAATAGAGAGTTTAAGCTTCGCGTTATACGTCAAACGACAAACGCCAGGCAAAGAAAAATTTACGGTATCACCGTATCAGGCAATAAAGAGTAAATCAGGCACGGATTCTCTGGGGGTGCGAAGGGTGCGCACCCCCAGAAATTATTTGCACCCCCCTCCCCCAGAGGCATTTGGCACCGTCCCCAAAAGTTTTTGCACCCCCGCAAATTATATATATTTTGATTTGATAGTTTCATATTTCATTATTCTTACTACTAAATTTGTAAAATTACCAATATTATGGTCTCGGATCTCGCCATGCAGGCCTACGAAACAAATTTTGTTAAACATTTTCCTTGGCCTTTCCGGGCGTTGCCACCAGGGCCCGGCCAAACCAAGCAGCAGCACCCCCAGATATTTATCCCCCGATCCCTTCCCATCCGAAGTTCTGTGTGAATGTTACCTTTTCTTGCTCTTCAGCCGCCAATCTCGCTGCTTCTTCCTTCGCTTTTCTCTCGGCGACTTTTCTTTCCTTCTCTTCTTCACGGAATTTCTTTAAACGAGGATCACAAGCGTAGCAGTTGTCTGGAAAAAGAGAATCTGGATGACAACGCGATAGTGACTAAAACATTATGTTTGTGATGTTACTCTGAGTGTATATCCACACCGGGCAGGCTTGAAAAATATGCCTGGCCACGGTGGGAATCGAACGTACGACCTTTGAGATGCCAAATGCTCTGCCAACTGAGCTACGCGGTCAGGTCGGTTCGAGTATGTGATATTTCGGAACTGAGTCTAGTTCCTTCGATATCATGCAATCTTGTAATCATGATGCATGATTTTTTTCTGTGCTGGTGTTATGTACTCAGGTAAATATGATGCTTGTTGATGTTCTCTGAGTGTATAAGCCACATAACACCAGCACAGAAAAAAAAAATCATGACTAAAACATTGTTTAGGACTGTGTTTGCATAATTGCACTGCAAGTTCAACAAGCTCGGAAAACATCACGCTATCTTACCCACTAAAGTTCGTAGTCTTGTTGTTTCCTCCTTTTTTCGTTTCTGTCTCATCGCTCTGTTCTGCTTCTCCATCCATCTTCGTTCATCGCGACTTTTTAAGAGAAAGAGTATGGTACAGTAATAATAGATAATTCCCCTTTATAGACTAATTTTAAAACTACTGTCAAAGAGATGCAAATAAATCACCAGAGTTTATAGAAAGAGCATACTAAAATTAGTAAAATTGCAAAGTTTGGTTGCGAAATGCTGTAAAATGCAGACAATATAGCCTTGCAAAGTTCGCAAATTTTGTATACTTTTGTATTGTGGGCGGAAATTGCTACTACTTTCGGCCCAAATGTGATAGCAATTTCCGCACGCAATACAAAAGTATACAAAATTTGCGAACTCTGCAAGGCTATATTGTCCGCATTTTACAACATTTCGCAACCAAACTTTGCAATTTTATTCATTTTAGTATGCTCTTTCTAGCTGTGGTGATTTATTTGCATTCCCTTGCTTAGTTTTAAAATTAGTCTATGATGGAAAAAGTCTATTTGGAAGACAAGTTTGTTGAAAACGAGGCACTGGCTGGGTGTGGCATCGAGACAATGAGACGTCGCTGATTTCTTTTGTGTTTTGACAATTAATTAGGAAGCACAGACCTTTCGCCTTTTTCTTTCTCTTCCTCATCCAAATACGAAAATTCCCTCCACGAGTCAAAATCATACCTGCAGAGTGAAACGAGATTCATATGTTTCATATATGTACGAGGAATGTATGTAAACATACGCATATTTACCAATTTAAATATTTTTATTATTATTAATACATATATTTATAAACGCACCAAAATTTGTAAAATTCATCCACATCTTCAAAAGTGGAGTCTTCATCTCCGAGACCTGGTACTGGCAGCTTATTTGACCACCTACAGTAAATGTACGAAATTTTGGCTACATTCATACAGTTCATCTTGAACCTTTGTCATCCGGATATTCTAGCTAGTTCAACATGATTTCTAATGGGTAAAGACCTACCTAAAATGATCACGTTTTGTGATTGGCTTTCAGAAACAAATTAGAAACAAAAATGATCATTGTTCGTGACTCGTTCTTTAGAAAGACGATTTCTATAGTTTTATTGTCTTTCATTGTTAGAATCAACCAACCACGACCCTGGATAGTATAGGTAGATGATGCCCCTTTCTAACCCATTCAGCATTATGTAGTCACCTTTTTGCAAACACATTTTCACATTAACCTACCTGGAATTCGTCTCAAACACAGGCCCAAACACTTGATAAAAATTAATCTTGGAATTTGGATTTACAGGTGGTACAAAATTATCGAAAGTTGGATCAATGCTATCGTACGCTCGTCTTTTTCCTCTGTTCATCAAAATCTCTCCAGCTTTGGTTATACACGTGAAATACTCCTGCACGGCATCTAGATGCATCTTTGACTTGCGTGAATGACTTTTGTCAGGGTGGTGTTTTAAAACCATTTTTCTGTCTAAAGAACGACAGAAATAGGATTTTCAATGGAAGACTCCAGTTACAGACTAAATTTTGATCTAGGCAAGAAGAACAAAATCCATCACCAAAGCTAGAAAGAGCATGTTAAAATTATTAAAATTGCAAAGTTTGGCTGCAAAATGTTGTAAAATGCGGAAAATATAGGCATGTAGTAAAACACTGACTACCGGAACACCGGAACACCGCCGGAACACCACCAGAACACCACCGGAACACCACCTAACCCTAACCCTAACCCCAACCCTAACCCCCAACCCTAACCCTAACTCTAACCCCAAACCCTAACCCCAAACAAAATGGTGGTGTTCCGGTGGTCAGTGTTTTACTACATGCCGAAAATATAGCCCTGCGAAATTTGCAAATTTTGTATTATTTTGTATTACATGCGGGAAAATGCACCACATTTGGGCCGAAAGTGCTGCATTTTCACGTGCGTAATAAAAATTAATACAAAATTTGCAAATTTTGTAGGGCTATATTTTCCGCATTTTACAACATTTTGCAACCAAACTTAATGCATTATTCCAATTTTTAACATGCTCTTTCTAGCTGTGGTGATGGATTTTGTTCTTCTTGCCTAGATCAAAATTTAGTTTATATAGACAGACTATAGTTGGAATCATGTATTGAGGAGATAAAGTGATAGAACATCGAATAAGAGAGTAGAATATATTACACAGTTTTGAGTTCCGCACGCCCTCATAATACTTACAGGCCCTTTTAATGTCATCTTCTGTGGCTCTATATCTTCGATTTTTTAAACCAATTATTTTATAATGGTCTTGATCCTGTGGTGAAAATGAATGATAGATTTTCTCACTATATAGTCTAGGAGGTATTGATCTGTCATTGGAATGATAGAGTGGGGTGCATACATCCCCTAGCCTTGGTCATGCATGGCCCACAGCAGGGTGCGATAATTCGCGTACTTACGTACCATATTACTGTCTGGTACTTCTTTGTTTTCAGCCACGTACCACGTAGGTATGCGGAAATCTTGCTATCTGCGTACTTATTTTTTGCTGGTACCACATGACCTTTCCAAGTCCAAGGTATTCAATACCGTAATTTAGTTGGTATATCATGTGTCTGAGATGTCTTGGCATGAAACATGATTGCACTGATGGCACTAAGAAACGTTGGAGTCGATTGTTTGAAATAGCAAAACTCCGTTTTTAAATATCAAAACACCCTTTTCTAATAGCAAAACTTTCTTTTCAAATAGCAAAACTGCCTTTTCAAATAGCGAAACTCCCTTTTCAAATAGCAAAACTCCCTTTTCAAATAGCAAAACTCTGTTTGCTACCTCATAGTCTGAACATACTTTTCAGAAACCTGTACTTTAATTATGAACCTTATTGTAAAGACTATGTACACATTGAGTACTGAGTTTGTTCTAGCGCAAGTACGCCACAACAACCATTGGCGTACCAGTCAGGTACGACTAGAAATGTTGAATGATCGCACCCTGCACAAGGGGAAAGCGGGAGGGGCATGATGCACTCTGGCTCCATCACCACCTACCTAGCTATTCCCGCTAGACTAACAAGTCAAAGGTCACAAGTTGATATTTGACCAATCAGCGCACATATAGAAGTTATCGTATCGTTATCATTGTGTAGTGTGACCTGGGCTTATTAACTCTATAAGGTTGTGAGGGCTCCTTACCAGGAAACCCACTGGAAAATTGTCTGGGTTCTTACACCACTACAGTACCTTCCATTCCTTGGGGTCCAACGTAAGCAAATATCTTTCATCTTCACTGTCAGAACTTGATGAACTGCTTTCTTTTTTATCTTCGTTGTTTTCTTCAGAACGTTCATCAGGTTCAGAATTTGACAGGGATACATTTTTTCTACTGCGTGATACGTAAGCTTCAAACCATCGTCCAACTGGCTCCACCTCTTGCAAGACGGGGGCTGCAGAGATTAAGATACATTTTTAAAAGTGATCAATGAAAATCAGGGGGCAAAAACAACCTTTCCAACTGCATGAGTTTTTGCTAGGCATGCTGTGGGGAAGCATGTGCTGAGCAAGTATGCACTGATTTCAGTCAGGCTTTCAAGAAAGTTTGGGGGGGATAGTAAAGAGATTCAAATTTGACTTCCACTTCCGTAGTTCTGCTACCACGACCACCACCACTACGTGTGTTTGATATATATCCGTTTAACCAATCAGACGGGTACTAAACATGTGAGAGTCAGTGGAAGTCATATCTGCAGACAATGCCAGTCATTCCAACTCTCCCGATTTTACTGTGAGTCTCCCAAAAATTCATACAATCTCCTGGTCTCCTGATTTTTATCAAATTCTCCCGATTTTTCAGAATATTCGGGAAATATCGTAAAAAAATCATAAACATACTGTTTTTAGCAACATAATAGTCTGTTTTGACCTTTTTATGAAGTTACTTAATGGCAATTTATAGGATCACTTATAACAACATCTTCCCAAAATGCAGGAAATGCCATTTCAGAAGACTTAATTTTTAAAATTTTTTCACAGAAGAACAAGATTTCGATTCAGTGAACAGTCTCCCTAAATTTTACCTCGAGTAGTTGGAATGTCTGTATCTGAACCTCTCTATTGTCGTTTTGCTTTTTCTCACTTTGTGCATAATTTGCTGTTGTTTTTATTGATGATAAATTAAGAATTTAAACTATGACAGTGAAAATATTGCAGTGGTAATATACGAGTAAGAGAAATGACGCTAGCAGTTTAATACTGGTTTAATAGTGCTGCATAGTGCAAGACAGCAGTAGCATTATTATTCACTGATAATGTACTGTTAATATTAACTTCGTACAATTTAATATGACAATTATAAATAATTGTATTATTGTATATTAAATATATGCTCTCTCAAACGATTTAAACATACCACATAGTTTTCTCAGAACTATGCTGTTTTCTCCAACTTCTGCTGCCCGTAACATGACAGAAATATCTGTAAAATCATCAATTTTTCAAATAAAATGTATTTTATTACGGAAGTTCAAGTCGGCGGCCATATTGTACATAATGTTGTACATCCTACTTGCGGGCTCAGCTGGAATTTATTTATTTATTTTTAATTTTGATTTAAAATTTCACTTTATGGAGTGAAATGAATGCCCTCTTATTGAGGTATACTAAAAAAGATAAAAACAGTTCAGTAAAATAAAATAATTTCATAAAATGAATGAATAAAATGAAAATTTATAAGAAATTAACTTGGTTATAAAACAACAAACGTGATTGGTTAGCGTATTTCCATCCAACCAATCAACAACGAGCTTTTATTACAAATTTAACTAATAATTTTCCGTGTTTCAGGTTAGCGTCCTTAGAAGTTTCCGTTTGTTTTGTTTTAAAAGCAAAATAGAACGACCGTCTTTTCAGAGTTTTTTGGCCATGTCGAAGGCGTTTAACGACCCAAGTTTGCTCACGAAAGACCGCTTGAAGAAGGAACTCGAAAGCAGAGGTGTAAAATTGCCGCGAGGCGACCAAAAAAAGGAGTTTTACGTGAGACTATATCGTGAGACTGTATCGCGTGAGACTATATCTGTGAACGGCGAGTTTAGCTCAGACGATGATACAGAATTTGACCAATCTCCACAAAACAAGGTATTTCTGAGTGCAGGAGAAGATATGCCTCATACGCAAAAATTTCATATTGTTAAATCTTTGTTAAAATACGGTTGTAAATAAACTCTTGCACTCCACAATAATTTGCATGTTTGAAAACAGTCGTGGTCCTGCTTTCGCTTTTAGGATTAATATGATAAATTTGAATTCTTTTTTTATATATTTAAATGCTTGTTATAACCTTGACCTAAACATGTACGCTTTTATAAATGCTTAAAAAATAACTGCTGGCTTGCTGTTTGAATAAACTGTTTAGACTTCGTTAGGTTCATGCTGAGTATAACAGTAATTAATGTTGGTTTAGGCATGGAATTTTATATATACAATAGCCAATCAAAAATCCGTACAATTAGTACATTTATTCATAATTGCACAATTTTTGAGATACCCAAGACAGTTTAGGATTGACAGGTAGATGTTGATATAAGCAGGTAGTTATTTAATTATTACATACCTTGGTTGGCCAGAAAACCACTTGGGCTTTGTTTATAGTTACCCAGGTATGGTACCTGTAAAGTGCTGAACTTTGTACCAATCACTGCATAGTTTCAGGATTGAATCCTAGCGAAACACTTTCTTTAGATGGGATTCTGTCATTCAATTATTTTGGATTGATTTCCATATTAATGAACAAAAAATAGCCCTGTTTACACAAGCAAATTTTATTTGTCAAATTTCATTTGATCAAATGCATTTAATCAAAAGCTAGCATGCTAGCTTTTGTTTGAATGCATTTGTCACACTGAATTTGTCACAAATTTATCATTTACACAAGCAAAATATCTTTGGCATATGAAATTTGCCAAACAGAATTTGCTCGTGTAAACGGGGCTTAACCCTAAGTCATTTCAGAGTACTTATACGAAAGCAATCCATTTCTTCACTTCAGCAAATAGTGCCGAGAGGAAGTCGCAGCATCCGAAAGGCTGCCTCCAAAGATATTGTGAGCGTAGAGATCAAGTCATTGACAGATGAAGAACTCAAGCGAGAATTGTCGGCTCTGGGTTCCCCTGTTGGACCTATCATGTCTAGTACCAGAGGACTTTACGAAAGAAAACTAGGTACAACACAATTGTATAATCATAAATGCCTTCCCGAACTCGTAAACCATTAAAAGTTTGCTTTATATTGACATTATGAAAACACTGCATTTTTAAGAACAAGCTTCCGTTGATATACCCTGGGTGCCAGAGCCACGCACCGCGAGGAGCCTCGCACCGCGAGGTGCCACGCACTTACAGATTTTCCCAAATAATCACTGGATATTTGGTACTGGTAACTGAACTTTTAATGTCTTTCATACAGCTCGAATGCGTGAAAGTGTACAGAACAATGGAATGACCACCATAACAAAATCTGAGTTTTCTGACGACAACTTTGATGAAGAGGAAGTGCATGATGAAGAGAGTGCTCCTGACGATGGTAGCCAAACTTTTCTCAATTTGCCTTTTCCTAAATTTTACTTTATTTGCTATAGGTGGTGAATTCATACCCAATGTTTTCCCTTTCAGAATTCTTCTATAAGCGGCAAGAAAGGAATCGCAGAAGTGGTGGGGATTTTGGCCAAACTTTCACCAAGAACTTCCAGGACACATCATCCAAGAAGGAAGTCAGTCGTGATTTCTCAGTTTCCTCGTCACGAAACGTCGAACGTAGCTCGTCGTTTGACCGCAAAACAATGAACAAAGTTCGTACGAAGAAAGGCGATAAATTCGAGGAGCAGAATTGGTCCAGTTCCAGTAATAATGAGAATGCTGATGACGCTGAAGATGGTGCTGATGTCTTACAGTTACCTGGTTTACCATCTAGCTTCCAGCAAGCATTGACTGCTGCTAGGTTGGTAAAATTAATTAATTTTGGTACAATAGACCTTATGCATAATGATGTCACAAGAATTGAGAGGAATGCTGGTCTTAGTAGTCATCACCCGGGAAAATTTCGATACTGGACCAGCTTTCCTCTCGGGCATCAACCCTTGTGACATCATTTAGCATAAGGTCTCTTACCATAATTGTGGCTCCCTGGCTTGTAAGCCCGAAACACAATCTTGTTTGAGCTGCATCCATTGCAATTCACCATTCAGTTATTCACATGTAATAAACAATGGTTAGCAAACCACTAATGTAAGTTTATTAAAAATTCTCTCATTTAGATTCAGTCCAGAAAAATCGCCGCCGGCAACCGAGATGCGAGCAAGAGCCTCTCGACAACAGGAATCAGAGTCAGTTCCCGAGAACATTCCTGAGACGAAAGTGGCAGAGGAAAAACCAAAAATGCCAAAACCAAAAACCTCAAGAACGTGGCGCTGGGTCTTGTTCATTATTATTGTGATTTTGATCATTTTTGCCGGTGCTGTGGTGTATAATGTTGAGAAGTTACCTGTGTTGAATAAACAATTGGCTTCGCCAGGACCACCTGCTAATCCAAATGACACAACACAATGACGTTTTTACGCACAATTTCTGTTCATAACTTAGCATAGGCTGCATAGCATAGTTTAAACTGTATGTACAAAATTCATAGAAATACATTAGATTTTTCATCAAAATTATGCAAGACATGTGATTGAATTTGATTGTGTTACAAAAGGTGCATTTATGTAATGTACACACACGTAAAAACACACAAGTTGTAACAAGTCTGCAAACAGGCTGTTACAAGTCTGTTCACAAGCTGTCAACAATGACAACAAGTTGTGTTCGCACTGCTTGTTCCCAGATTGTTGTAACAAGTTTGAAACAAGCTGTTAACTTGTAACAAGCTTGATGGCATTATCAGACTTGTTACAAGACTGTGCTAACAAGTTTGTTACAGCCATGATATAACAAGGATGTTACAAGGTTGTCAACACAAGGTTGTAACAATCTTGTTATACCAAGCATATAACAGACTTGTCAGAACAACCTTGCAACAAGTCTGAAAATTTCAACAAGGTTGTCAACAAGTCGTTCCAAACTTGTGATAAGCAGTGCGAATACATCTTGTTGACAGCTTGTTGGCACACTTGTTACAAGATGCGAGATTTTTACGTGTATACACTGCAATTGGCTAATAATCCACAAACAATGAGTGAGTGAATGATGGAAAACAGTGGGATTCTTGAAACAATGAAATAAAAAGTAAGTCTTACTAATACTACTGATTTTGAATACCTCGCGCTGAGGCGCTTGGAGAATAAATTGCGCGCTTCACTGGTTTTATACCCGCATACCCCCGCACATATAACCCGATTTTCGGGTAAATATTTTGGTTGCCTAGGTAATAATACAATATTAACCGGCGTCTATTTGCAAATAATGTAACAATTTTTTCTTCACTAGTGTTTCAATGCATTGTTTTAGGAAATTGCTTTTACTTTTTTGATGTTTTCACCTCTGGCAAAAGGCAATGGCTCGTGGGATGGACATTTTGAGGATGAGGTTTTCGATTTTTTTTTAAATTAATAAATTATAAACTACTGTGATTGCAAATCAAACTTTATACAAATACAAATATGTCAATGAAATAAAATCGAATTATTATATTATAAGATGCTTTGATTTGGAGCATGTTATGTGTTTTTAAAAGTTGTGGGCTGGAGATTAATTATATATAGTGATCGCATTTTGAAATAATACTTCTAAGTGTGTGATCGCGTTTGACCCTTTGTGCTCCTACTGTGATGAAAGCTTTGTAACCTTTGTTTATGACATGGAAGAGAGGGGAGCTAATTATTAACTCATTAACGTCCAACAGGTTTTTAAGCCATTAACCATGCACCAACACATTCCACTTGGGGAGTAAATCGTCTGCAGTTAGATAGAGTTAAATAAACAAATTGTTAACCCATTGGGTTAACCAAAAAATCTGACAATGTCTCTACTTAACCCATTGAGCCGTAATGTGCCCCAGTGCGCCCTACTTATTTTTTTTACTTGAATAATGCCAGTCGATATTACTCGTCAATGGAAAAGCTCTGCGGCCTAATAGGTAAAGTGCATTAGACGTGCCGGCACACTGGTTTAATTGCATGGGTAATGAAAGACATGGGCAGATAGTCTGGTTAAGCCATTAATGCCCAACACTTCCTCTTGACAAGTAAAATTGTCTGGTGTTAGACAGAGTAACAAAATACTGTAAGAGGCATACAGCACATGGTCGCTTAATGGGTTAACATTACATTTTAACATCAACCTTTCAATTTAGTCGACATTTGACAACCTATTTCCATCCATTCACCAAACGTCAATCCACAAGGATGCCACGCTACCTCAGATAGACACAAGTGATTTAACTAAAGCACAAGATCCCGCCATTCAACTGCCAAAGACATTTCTTACACGGAAAGGTGCAATTTTGTTGTTTGCACAAAATGGAAAACAAAACGTATACGAACGAAGAAAGCAAATTAGGAATGATGAAAAAATCAATTTAGTTAACGTTGAAGAGCAAATGCCACAAGGTGAAAAAAGAAAATTATTTTTGGAGTTTCTTGACGTGTTTCTCAAAGATCAAACAACAAATAAACAAACTATTTCTCAGCCAATCAATCTCAAAGAAAATAATTGGATAAGGTATGTGAAGACTTATTTTTAGTTGGAAAATGAATGTCCTGGTTTGTCCACCTTCGGGAAACATGGCTGGGAAAATAATGTTTCCTTGTTTGCCCACCTTCAGGAAACATGACTAGGAAACAATGTTTCCTGGTTTGTCCACCTTTGGAAAACATGACTAGGAAACAACGTTTCCTGGTTTGTCCACCTTTGGAAAACATGGCTAGGAAACATTGTTTCCTGGTTTGTCCACCTTTAGAAAACGTATGTGGCTGGGAAACAATGTTTCCTGGTTTGTTCACCTGTTTGGGAAACATGGCTTCCTTGCAATCTGTTTATTTTAGTGACCAACAGTATGACGAAGAGCAAACAGAAAACGTCTTCAAAGTTCTATCTCGTCCAAAATCAATCAACTCATTCTACAACCACGAAATTCACGTCAAGAGACAGAAAGCAAGACCAAAGACTGCAGTTCCAGGAAATGTCCTACCTAGCGAACCAGAACAGCCCAAGGCACATCCAAGAATAACCAGCGGCAAACCTTGTCCTCCAACACGAGGTATGATAAACGAACAATGATGGTCTGGAAGCCAGGCAAACTTCAAAGCTATAAAATAGAAGAGCTTTGTTTGATGTTGAAATGTACCTCACCATGCACAATTCCTTTGTCTCAACTTCATTAAATATTATTCATCGTGGTTGCACATTTCATCTCAGCTATCCCTATTGGACGATTACTTCATTTACGAAAATACAATGAGCTAAATCACTGTGACCCTGCACAATTTAACATAAACTTAGACAAAAACATAATATAATGACTTGTGTTTAGTTTCCAGACCATATCTTGATAGATCATGCTACCAGTTATCTCCAACTAACCAACTTACTAATATTAAGTAAACGTATTTTTCCTCTATAGCACTAGGGAAGCTTCCTTCCAAAAACACACGTTCTGAATTTGACAAAGAAAACGCCCAGTTACCTTCAGCCACCTTCAATAGAAAATCACCAGACTTTTGTCACAAGACAACTCACAACTCCAAACTATAGTACAACCAATGAA